TGATGTATCTCTGCATGTGTGTGTGTGTGTGTGTGTGTGTGTGTGTGTGTGTGTGTGCAGGAGGAGGAGGAGGAGGAGGAGGAGCCCGGGCTCCTCGGCTGTGATAACAGGCTGCTGCCTCGGTTCTGTTATCTTCCGTTCCCCGCCGTCCGAGCAGCGGACCTCCTCCGGACCTGTACCAGGATTTATTTGATTCTTATGAAACTTCACTAATTGCCGCAGCGCTCCTCCCATGGTGTCCCCGGGAGACTCCCCGGCCTCTACTCGACTTTTCGGAAACTATCGGCGACCGTTTTGGGGTCTTGAAAATCATGGAAACGTGGTTTGTGAATCACGTCCTCGGTTTGTGTCTGTCGGTCCTCCTGCTGGGTCTACCGGGGCCCCTCGGGGCAAGGACCCCCAGTAACAACAGCACCGATTCGGGAACGGCAGGATTGTATTATTCGGGCGCCACAGATGGACTCAGCCACATGGAAAACAGTGCAACTTCAACTTCATACTCCAGCGAGAGTTTATCACCATCACAGAGGAACATCCTGCTCACACACACTGCTGAAACACACACTGCTGCTGCTGGAAACTTCGGTAAGATCACTGTCAGCGAGGCCTGCAGTGGCAAGTGCACTGCAGGCTGAGTGTTGGTTTACTTGCACCCCCATTATCCCATAGGAGAATCTATGTCCCCCATGCAAAGTAAAGGGTCATTAAATGTGTGTTTTTCACTTCCACCCCACTAGAACGAACCATAAGCGGATCTCTGAACATTTTGTGTGGCATTATCTCTTAATTACAAGTGTAGGCTATATATCCTGAGTGAAGATTTCCTGTTGTGGGTTAACTGAAATGCTGTTTCTAATGCTGCTCTGCCACAGGTTGCATGCCGATTTAAATTCAAGTGAGGTGCATCCAGTGTCCTGAAACAAGTGCATTGCTCTTTTAGTTGTGTGTGCTTCAGTATAGAGCTGTAACTAACAATCATTTTCATCACAGATGTATATGTTTGTCTGTAGATTGTCAGAAATAGTTTACAAAAGTTCCCAAAGCCAAAGCTGACAAACTGTTTCATCAGTTTAACCAACCAAAACCCAAAAGTACTTAAACGAGGGAAAAGACTAGAAAATATTTACATTTGAGAAACTGGAACCAGTAAATTTCTGCTTGAAGAAAGAGAACAATTTAAAAACTTCAAAGGGTTTATAAGGGTCATAATGTATCACATTAAACCCGCTATTAGACAGTTTACTTTTTGGAGTAGATCCTCTTCAAACTGACCTTTCCAGAAAGGGATGCACCGACTGGGAAATTCTGGGCCGATACTGACTCAGTGTTTAAAATAAGAATTTGGCCAATAGTCGATGCCGATACCGATGTCTTTTGTTGTTCTTTATTCAACATTTTGTCCCAGCCAAACAAATAAATCTACAAAGATAAGAGACATTGTTGCAGCTCAGTCTATTTCTCTTCTCATCCAACATGTGTTTCTCCAATATTCAAGTTAGTAATAACCAACACATCAGCACAGAACTGATTTGACACAACAGATAAACACTGATGAATACAATCTTATTTGCCGGTAGGCCAATGTCAGTCAAATATCGTCCGATACCAATGTTGGGCTGGTATAACGGTGTGTCCCTACTTTGCAGTGAACAAAGACTTCAGATTATACTGAACATGTTAAAGCTGGCTTATCAAGTAAGACTCATTCACTCAGTTTGATGAAACCAGTTAACATGCACACTGATGTATAACTCGCATCATTACGGGTGGAAGAAAATATAATATGTCGCGATATTTTGTTTTGTGATATCGATTCTCAAAAAAACTATTGATTATTGTTGTTAAATCCCCCAACCCTAAATAGCAGTGTTGCAAACATACACTGAGGGCTGTGATTTTGGAAACAGATTCCACTTTTCTGGTTGCATAAAAAGCAAACTTTTTACTCAGATTTTATGCGTATGATGGTGTGTTCTTTATACTGTATCGCGATGCGTATCTTATCGCCAGATTCTTACCAATACACAGCCCTACTTGTCATGAGCTTAATTTAAAATCTGATAAGAAGCATCTCCTTTTTAACAAGTTTGCTAGAGCCGTGTTAGAAATTAAGCCGAGGTGTTGCTGTTGCCACAAAAAAAGTCAGCTCATACAGGTGTTTTAGAAGGTGAATGGTCCCCTGCATGCAGTGGTCAAACATTTGCATGGGGCGTTGGTTAGAGCATCCAGGTTAGGGGGATTGTGATGCTTTGAGTTAATATATATGTTGCTCCTACAAAAGTACCTGCAGCTGAACTATTTTGTACACATGTCAGAGGGAAACCACATCTGAACCACATACAGCTTTTCACTTCACTTCACAGCTCTAAGACTCTAAGGCCCAGCATCAATCATCACACTATAGGAAGAAATGACTTTTGTCATTTGCGGTAGAGGCCACAGTTACACCCACAGCTACACCATTGTCGGCTCAAAGCAATCGAAGAGAAAGAGGCTTTTAATTACATTTACACAATTAAAAGACATCCTTTTAAGAGAGTCAGGGATCAATTGTATCCCTTAAATAGAGGTGGATTTGGTGCAGTGCTGCTATGCTGGAAGCAAAATACTCATCAATATAAACCCCAGACAGCGGAAAGGAAGAGAGATTTAAGTTTTGAGGGTAGGAAGGAAGAATTTTTTGAATTTCTTTGTTTGAATAATACTTATTATGACATAATATAACATCTGATAATGGATGGGACCTTTACCTCATGAACAGAGAGCAGAGCACTACACCTTTATAACAGTCTCTTTATAACCTTAACCTTATAGTTCCAATGCAACTGCGGACGGATATTAACGCAATATTACTATTATTACTACTGTACTACTACTTCCACCAGTTGGTCACAATACAGTATACCGTATAGCCTACGTATAATATACAACGTTAAAGATCCAGTGTGAAACATTTAGAGGATCTATCAGCCGAATGGAATTATATATATTCAATATGTTTTCATTAATGTAGTAATCATTTTGAAAAAAGAATCATTGTGTTTTCGTTACATTGGAATGAGACACTGTTTACCTACAGACGGGAAGCGGCCTCTTCTATGAGGCCACCATGTTGAACTGTCATGTTTCCTACAGTAGCCCCAGAACAGACAAACCAAATACTGGCTCTAAATAGAGCTTTGTTGTGTTGTTGTTGTTGTTGTTGTTTTTTTGTTTTTTTTACAGTTTTGTGACCACTTTAGTTTCTCCTACACATTTGGAAGGCTGAGCTGTATTCAAATGGTTGCAGTCCGCAACTTCACAGATGCCACTGAACCCTTTGAATCCACTGAGATTTTTGCTGCTTGGTTTCAGTCATGCAGAGCTGCCGGATACAGTTCCTCATACTGCGATTGGGATATGATTCACAATGAGTGGGACTTCCTTCATTTTTCCATTACAATTTTAGTTTCACTGGAAAAGAAAAATTAAATCATGATAGTGTGACATTTGTTGGGGTCTGTACCAAACAAACATGTTTTCTTACATCTGGAGAACAAGATTTATAGGTCAGGGAATCTCTGCAACTCTACAGTACTTCATTATAGTGCTGTTTTATCACACACAGTACCGTTATCCAATAACTGCACCTTCTTGCAATTTGCGTATTGCGATTTCAATAATACTGCAATTAATTGTGCAGTCCTACAACTACAATGATAAAGTGGAAATTATTCACTTTCCTCACCATGACTTCAACCACATTCGCCTTTCCTGTCCTGGAACAGGTCTTAAGGTCGCTGTTATCGGATGAGAGACCCACAGACTGAGCTGTGAATTTCAAACAGCTCAACAGTTTATCACTCAGTAATAGTCCGTGGCAACAGAGGACCTATTTTATCTGTTGGCAATAAAACATCAATCATTACATTTACAACACTGCTCAGTCATACCATCGGCGGTGCTCATTAGTATTCTGAATGCACTGCACTTGCCTAAATTAATATGCAGACCACAGAGTTTCTGAAGTGTAGCAGATGTGAAAAGACGACACAGTTGAGAGCTGAGAGATAAACAGCAGAGAATCTGGGAGTGTCCGCCACTTGTTGCCAACACCACGTTCCAGTCTGAGTTTTGTTGCCCGGACTGGATCCAGGGAGAGAGAATGAAATAATGAGAGAGACACATGCAGAGGAAGTGAGAGAGAAAAATAGAGTCGAGTGGCCCAGTTCTCCCGACAGACTCCCAGTGGACGGGCCGTTCTGTAGTTGAACTCTCCCCTCCATTGGTTTTTTGATGGTGGCTGCTGGTCACTGTCAGGATGCTGCCCAGCACCGATGCTCATCATCAGAGTGCTTTTGTTCCAGTCCTGGGCTATCTGGAGACTGGCCAGATAACAGGCTGTCAGACGGCACAGCATCAGTGACAGGCAGAGAAAAAGAACAGGTCGGAGAAAGACCTCACACATACTTGGTGCCCAGCTGACTTGTGTGTGAAGTTATTTTCTCGCTACACTATGTGCATCTTTTGACTCTCACAATAGATGGAGAGTAGACCACGGACCCCCAATTTGAACTGATTTTGTCTTTAGGAATGAAATCTCCTCTGAGTAATTTTATTTATTTTTAGGTTTGAGGATAATGTCTTCATAGCCAATCAATGTTCAAACTAATACCACTATAAATTACAATCAATAAAAACAGCCAACCCTATTTCTTCCCCTGTTCCAGAAAATGTGAAATCTTAAAATATTATATTCCTCCTTTTGCGGGGGACTCTGTTGGTCCCCCAATTGAGGCACAAATTATGTAATTCCATCAACTCTAGGTTGATTCCAGCTGGCAACCCTTGTTTGCTTGCCATCCCTCTTGCTCACTATTTGTGGTTCTTATGTATCTCTAACTGTCAACTGTCAAAGGCAAACTGGTAAAAACACATTTTAAAAACAACAATCTAAAACAACATCCTTTTTTTGACACTCCAATCATGTTTGGGGTTTTTTTATGACTGAAAAACAATTTTAAGCCAGGCTAAAAAAAACTATCCACAGTCACTGAACATGAAAGCACACCCAGATCCATGGTGACTGTGTTCTGCCAGTGTCTTGTGCTCGCTCAGCTTTAGGAAGGAAATGGCTGATTCCCAACGGAGACAGTCACCGCCATATTTAGGACCTCATGCCATTGTTAGAGTAGACAAGCCTTGCTGCCAATTGTTCTCCACCCAAAATCATTGCCTCTGCAGCAAGCAATAGTACTTCTGACAGGATCTTCCCACTTTCTGCAGCCTGAGCAGGCGAGACACAGCTCAGTGAGCACCCTCTGGTGGCCACAGGTGGAAGTGAGCTACATTATGTACAGTTTGTAACTTAAAGGACCAGTGTGTAGGATTCAGTGGCATCTATCGGTGAAGTTGCAGTGTTTGGTTTGTCGGTTCTGGGCTCCCGTAGAAATAGTGTCAACATGATCACTGTGAGACTCCCTGATTTGAGCATGTAGCTTCTTAGACAACACATTATGATCATAATATAGGTATTTCACTACATGTTAAAGAAGTTTATATCCTGCATGTAACAGCGTTACGAGCTCAGAAATTATGTATTTTTACTTCTTGAGTGGATTGATCAATATCACTGAAGGGTTGCAACTGTAGTTTTTTAATTTGTCTGTTCTCCAATTGATGGATTATTGTTTCGTCTGTAACGTGTCGTAAAATTGCCAAAAGTTCCCATACTTGATGTGTTTAATCTATTGTCCAAAATTAAAAAGCAAAATTCAATTTACAGTGAGAACAAAAGCAACAAACAGAACATTTGGGAAGTTCAGGCATTCGTCTTGGCATTTTTGCTTTATTAATTGACTTAAAACAACTTTTAAAGGATTGTGTCAATTGATTAATCATTGTTTTATCTAGCAACATATGTTATCAGTGTGCTGTCCACATTGATAAGACATTGGCTGTAAATACACCCAAATGCATGCACAATTACAAAGTTATTAAGATCATTTATAAACATGCAGAAAAATGATAAAAAGAAAAAGAAAATACTAATGCTGAAAGAAACCTAATTCTGGACACCCTTATACTACCTTTTCTGGTAATATTTAAAACAATTCAACAACAATTTCTTTAAAAGTCCAGTGCTCTTAATAGTGGCTGAGACGGAGTTAATAACTGGTGCAGTTTTAACAGAGAATTCAGACTGACTGAAAGCACTTTTTGGCCAGCTTCTAATAGTATAATGCTGTTGTTTGGTATCACAAAAAAAGCAATAATACTCTGAGACAGAAATAAACAGACCTCAGAATGTTTTCAGTGTCTTGTCTGTAGTGAGTGATTGGACAAAATTGATATTATTATTATTTTTTCACAGACACTGAGCAGACACAAACCTTCACAGAAACAAGCAGCACGTCACTAGAAGCCACAAGTCTGTCTACTGAGCCGCTCTCCTCCACCCTTGTTGTAGCCACCACTGAGGCCAGCAGCAGCAGCGGCAGCAGCAGCAGCGG